ACTTTTCCTCTTGGCTTTTAATCTGGCCAGAGGCTCCAAATTCTTAGTAAAGACTCCTCTCCTGGCCAGGTGTAGGGTATGAGTCTGTAATTCCAGCACTTGGCAGGCTGAGGCAGGATTGTCTCCTGAGCTACACGGTGAGTTTAAAACCAGCCTGAAATGCCTAGCAATACCCTGTCTCAAGTAAAATAAAATAACAATAATAATAAAATATAACTATTTAACGTGACACTGGAGACCATGACCAGAGATTCCTCCCCCAGAGGCATCACACTTGCTCCTCTGACCTGGGATAAGGGTTCTTCCTGTCTCTCTTTTCCTGTGAAAACTGTTTTTAAAATAGCCGCCACCTTCCACCTCTGATTCAAGCTTCTGGCAAGAGTCCACTATAGCCCTGTCTCCCCTTTCATCCACTTTACATGAAGGTTCTCTGTGTAGGTAAATATTTCTCCCCCCCTCACTTTATGGGCCTTTGGGATCCTAACTGGAAGCCTGCTATTAGGAAAGCCACCTTGAAACTGAATTATTATACGTGTGCATAGACTCAAGGGCAGACCACATGGATCTGGTCAGGTTGTAATTTCCCCAGCTCTCCCTTAGAGCTTGTGTGACGTAGGAACAAACCTCACAAGTCCTACATGATGAGCCCCATGAAAAGTTGTCAGAAAAACATTGTTAAGGGGGCTGGAGATTTAGCTCAGCGGCATAAGCGCCTGCCTCACAAGCAGGCAGTCATGAGTTTGATCCCCAGTACTGATAAAAAGGAAAAAGACAAAAAAAAAAAAAAAAAAAAACATTGTTACGCACTGAGTCTCCTCTTTTTGTATGTGCCGCTTTTCTCTGGTTCCTAAATTCTTTTTTTTTTTAGCTCCTACCCTTTTACCACTGAAATCTCCCACAAAGGGATTTTATTTGGATCCTGAAAGGTAATTGGAAAGCACCAAGCTCCTACATGATCCTATCAGGACACACTGTCAGATTCTTTAGGTGGGATCATGGCACTGTGACTTTTAAAAAGTAGTCCCTCATTTTAGAGATTTATATTGAAATGTGAGCTTTACCCAGAAGTGATGTCTGTCTTGGGATTTTTTTTTTTTTTTAAAAGGAGGAAACAAAATGGAACTTGGCAGGCCCCAAGCATGTCATGTATTGTTGGCATATGTTTGAAAGTTTCTGATGAAAACTTTTGTTTTGTTCTTAAAGCCTGTGCTTAGGAAAACATCTGATAAACTCATCCAAAATGAGAAAGCTACTAACTGATAAGGACAGTAGCAGCCATCTATTTCCCCGAGACATCTGCAACTTTAACAGGAAGAAAAAAAGGTTTAAGACAAAGAAGTGAATCCCACCATAGCAAACCAGGAGAAGCGGGGGGGTGAGTCACCCCCAAAAGCCACCCTGGCCATGAGCTCAGTCTCGATTTTCTTATCTAGATGAATAGATTTAATAAACATCAGACCAGTGCTGTTTTGTGACGACCACTGCTGGTGCCGCTTCTCCATTGCAGCGCTGCTAACCACTTTAATACCAGCTGTCAGCTGGCTACTCGCTGGACACCAGTATCACACCCCTTGTTCAGTGTGTTGCACGTAGTATTTCACTGACCCCTTGAAATCCTACTGTGCTCACACTGCTGCTGGGTCAGAGACAACTTGTACAAGGTCACCAGGCCGCTGGGTGGCAGCGTGGGCTGGAGTCTGGCCTCTCCCTTGGTGGGCACGGAGGCCTTGAAGGAGACTTCCGGAAGACCAGACATTCGGTGACTTACCCTCTCAAGGTGTGTGAGCCACGCACTTAGTGCTAAATCACTAAGCCTTGACTCATGTTGCAAACAGTAATTAATATTTTAAGTCATGAAGTAGCTAGAATTGATGCCAGACTAAACCAGTGTCATCAGCGTCCTGGCTGGTGGGTGAGTCACCAGGACAGTGTTAGCTAGGCAGTCCCGGGTGGGTGCCGGCTGGACTGGCAGGTGAATTTATAGCAAGGAAGAAGAGGGGCAGAAGAAAAATGGGAGTGGAAAGGCAGGCAGGGGAGTGCAAGCTGCTCAGTCCTCTGAGAAGGAGGTGCTGAGGACAAGAGGTGCCCGGGGAGCACCTGTCAGAGGGGGAAAGCAGGCTGGGCACCAGGACCTGCCGCCCAGCAGGGTGCTCCCCAGCGGACCACTGGTACAGCACACCGCACTGGGGCCTTTGTGCCACGGCCCTGCTCAGAAAAGTGGCTCAGTCAGCTCAGGCGAACCTTGCAGGAGCACACGGCAGGGAGGTTGTCGGCTCAGCGGGCTCCCAGCAGCCGAGGAGCCAGTCTGTCCTTGCAGGAGCCGGACCAGCACCTCTTGGGTTTTGCCACCTCAAGCAAAAAAATGTTGGCCATCTATTCCAAGTTGGAAAGCTACAGAACAGCTGCAGTGACTCATGGTGGGACTTTCTGTATCATTACAGGCAGGTTTAGTAACACTGATTCAGGTGACAAAATCTGACTGTGTGCTGTGCGCCAGGTGCAGTGTAGGTGCTTGGGATCCATGAATAAGCAAAGGTAAAGACTGCCTTAGTGGAACATATGACCCAGCCAGAGGCGGAGAGGCATACAAGATGACAGAATGAAAATGGAAATTTCCAGTGTGTTGGACCCTCGATCCTCCACGTGGTCCATGGGCCAGTATTGCAAGGGTACCCCAGGCGGCTCTGCTAGAAATGCCAGCCCCACCCCAGACTTACTGAACCCAATCTGGAGTTAAACAAGAACTCCAGGGGATTCCTAGGGATGCTAAAACTGTGACCTGACCTTGATTTTCAGATTTAGATACTGTGAGGGCAGGGCAGACAGCTACAGCGAGCAGTAGTGTAGACCTCATTGAAAATGCAGGGGGTTATAAACCATGAATGAAGCGGATGAACCACGCATGTGGGTTAAGACAAGTCCCCTGCAGAAGGGACAGCCAGGACCAAGGCTCCCGGGCAAAGTGTGCCTAGAGAGATGGCTGGTTTGGCTGGAGCAGAGGGTGAGGACGAAGAGCTGAAAGGCAGGATGAAGAAAATGGGGTACGGTAGCCAGACAGAGTAGGACCTCTGGGGACACAGTGAGGACTTCGGCTTTTCCTCGGGTGCAAAAAGCAGGTGGGTGACAAGATCTGCTTCAAAAGGGATGTGGTGCAAATATACACTGTACCAACAAAAACAACCTGCTAAGGATCTGTACTGGGTAGAAACCTAGTTTACACTTGTCTCAAGCATCCAAGATCTGTTCAATTACAAGAATTCTCTATAATTCACTGAAATACCAATAATTCTCTATAAAATTCTCACTGAAATAAAAATCCACTGAGGACAGACTGTTAAAGGGCCTGGGAAAAAACAGGAAGAGTTTTTTTGGGGAACAGGAGTAGGGAGAGCCTAAAATAACATAAGAAACACTGGAGTTCAGATCTGGTTAGTTACAAGATGGGGAAATGGCTTGGTTCCAGGCATATTTTCAACTTTGAGACTAGGTGTAGGATGTGAGAGGAAGAATCAAGGCAAACTCACAGGGCTTTTAACCTAAGCAATGGAAAGAAGACAGTGTGAACAACCGAGGTATGATGTCTGAGAACACATTTTTTGAGAGGAAGATAAAGGAACCATCTTTGGTTTATTAAACATCTGTTATGCCTGTGTGTAGATGCCCCCCAAACCCTTACACTGCGACAGCTGGGGCTTTTTCAGAGGCGGCTGGATCTAGTGTGTGTGATGCTGGGATTGATTCATGGTGCAGTGCTAGGTTCAAGGGCACTAGGATTAAGGGTGTGAATGCTGCCTGCCCTGAGTATCCTGGATAAAAGGGGCAGAAAGATGCTGTTAAGGTCCTTTGCCAGCTTTTGCCATCTTCTCTTCTGCAATGTCTCTTAAACTATGAGCCACTTAGGCTTGGAGGCAGCCAACTATGGACTGAAACTCCTACAAATAACCCAAATAAACTCATTTAACTTTGGGTGTTGGGTATTTTGTCTCAGCAATGAGAAAAGTAACTAAGACAACACCCAAGATTCGGTGATTAGCTAGCTGCATATCCATGTGGGGTTCAGGAAAAGGTCTGCTGAAGACAAATTCGGGAGCCCTGATCAGCCATTCTACTATGAAGACATAGGAACACCAAATATAATCAACAACCCCTGTGCTTGTGGATCTGCTGACTACACTAAACACTTTGGTCAGATCATACCATCTATGTGAAGTCACAGTGACGTGAACTCAATCTGGACATTTCTCTGAAGTCAGGATCTGATGTTTTAGGTATGTAAAATAATTAACACACTGTAACTTTTTAATCCTCAAATGTAAAACAACTCAATAAAAAAACAAAAGCCTTGAAAACAAAAATGTCATTGAAATCAACTATAAATTGTTAATTTCCACTGGAGAATAGACAATATTCACTTCTTCCCATTGCTTAGGTTAAAAGCCCTGAGTTTTCCTCGATTCTTCCTCTCACATCCTACACCTAGTCTCAAAGTCACAAGCCTAAGTTGAAAAAGTTCTACTGAATAAAAAACACATTTTAATTTAAATCTATCACAATTTAATACAGTGCAGCTTTATACAGTGCATCACAGCAATTAAATTAGTGAGTGAATCACTTTGCATATATTATCATCTCCTTTAATCCTCAGGCTGATACAGTTTGCCATTTCATTTATGATGACACTGGGGCTTACAGGCTAAACTCATATTGTGAATAAATACTAGTGCAAAGCTCAAACTCAATCAAAGACAACTCCCTGCATAATCCAAGAAGCAAAAGTTAAAATGAAATCTGAAGACAGACAGGTGTCCATTTTCAAGTTAAAGAAGAGAGTTTGTCTGCCAATAAGCCCTTCGCGAAACGGTTAATGGCTGCTGAAATCAATTTCTCCCCTCCTTAAACATTTAGTTCCCAACCATGACTCAGGGTCTTCAGTAGAGGTCTGCTTTGTGGGCAAGTTGATACTGATGACTGAATCAAAAAATGACAAATGACAAAAAGTCTTAGTGATTTGTACTTTCAGATTTTATCTGTAGTGATAAGTAGAATAATATATTGTACTATCAATGGTTTATTAAAAATTTATTTCACATAATAAATTGTATAACTCTTTTTCAAATAGTATATACCAGGAATACTGCCGGAAATATTTTTTCCTTTTGGTAAGACATACAGGTTTAGCAGGCTGACATCAGCTTCAGGTTCCCCTAAGCTAAAATCGCCCCCTCCCAGATAAGCAGTTTCTTCACATTTTCCTAAGTCCATGGAGACATCACTTAATAAAATAGTACAAATGTTTCCACAAGGCCTTAGCTTGATCTGCAGAATACTAGGTGGGAAATAACAAAGACACCTTCGTGAGTCTTAAGCTCATTACCTCACATCATGTACCACCGGGGTCAAAATCAAAGTTAAAAATAAGGCACAAAAGGACACGGTGGTTAAGTCAGTGGTTGTGTCCTGAGATTGGCCAGAAGAGATGCAGAACCAACACCATGTGACAGACAAGGAGAAAACTGCTTATGCAACATTTTTTTCACTGTTAAGAGCATATTGAATTGATTCTTATCAAATTGTTCAGAGGTTATCTAACTTTTGAAATGACAAAACTGTTAGGTATAAAAAACTGGATTTAAAAAATTAATAAAATAAGCCTCATGAATGGAAAACATAAAAAAACACTTGAATGCATAGCAGAAATTAGCACATCTCACATTGTGAGAAAATAAACCCAACTTTGGTATGCACCGTGAATGTTCATATTCCAAAAATTTTCATCAGTTTTTTTTTCCTTGCTGTTTTCAATTTTCCTCCACGAAAGGACACAAGAAATTAACTCTCACATCACTAACAGTATCAAAATAATATCACCAGTTTTTTAAAACTCACTTTTTAAACTTTACTGAACTCTAGTAAATTCAGAAGCATAGTCTAAAGCTAAAAACATATTCTGTAGCTCAGGCCTCAATTTCAGCTCTTATTATGCTGGGTAGTAGTTAAAGAACATAAACAGCAAAATTAAACGCTGGGTAAAACTAGTAGAGAAAATTTGATTTATATTCAAATTCATTATTCTGTACCAAGTGCTATTGGCTAAACAGAATTGTATCAAGGAATTCACATTCTAGAACTTATCCAACTCATACAGAAGCTAACCAGAAACATTCACAGCTGGACACGGAGTCCTGCAGCCTGGGATTGCCTGTCATCCCCTGACCGAGTGAGATCTTGTCAGCAAAGGACCTGCAAGCCAAACTGTGAGGCTGATTTAAAGCATCTCTCCACACTATGTGACTAAGAAGCACGCTGTGTGGTGACCAAAAGCGTGTTTTATGTTATTTAAACTTTATTTTCTTGGCAGACGACTTTGAAAATCAAATTAGAAAATTTTGCCAGATGATCTTAATAATAAACTCAGTTAAACCATGGAAAGAGAACATCTTAAGATTGCAATGTATCCCCCACTGTCCCCTGCCACAGTTTCAGAGTACGAGACCAATTAGGAAGCTTACCAAGCAGTACTGGCAATTTATGGTGAGTTTAAGTTTGTAAAACTTGTACCGTATGTGGAAACGGTAGAGGGTGAGGGAAAGTGACTCTCAGGTGTGGGCAAGGAGAGCCTGAATGTACACAGCTGTAACAAAAACTGCAAATTCTATGACCTCAGGATCAAACCTGAAGCCAGGCAAATCAGAGCTAGAATTTCAAAACCGCAGGACACGAAAAGGGTTAATCTCGAAAACTGCAGCTGGTTTTCTGCATCAGGACCAGTTACAACACATCTATCATTCACATGTGGGTTTATGTCATTTACCTTCAGTCAGAATCATTATCTATGCAGCAGCAAAAGCCCGAGGACTGCTGACACACTTCAGACAAGGAGGTTCTGGCCTTTGTCAAGCTAAGTGACGGTGACACAATGTTGGCTCACGTGTAGAAGAAGCTGCACTGCCAGCATTTCCATTTGCTCCCATTCCTTCTTAGACTCTCAGGGTTTAGTTACACCTCTTAGGCTGTCCTGGTTCTACAAGTTGGCCCCAAATTCACATAGAAAACATTATACAACTTTTTAATCCAGGATTAACTCATTCAAACCAAGTTATTGTGGCTATTTTTAATGTTTAAATGTTTGGACTGCAGAGATAGTAGGTTTAAAAATAACCTGTAACACATTTATTAAGTACTTTAGTTCAACTCATTCTTGATTTCTGAGGTTACCAAGGCAATGTTTAAAGTAGTCTAACTCACTCACCAACTGCCTCCCCAGGAGGAAATGTATCTGCCTGAGCTCTGTTTACAGTCTAAAACAATGTACAATGTCACCAACACCCTAGAAAATAGCTTTCCTGTGTACAGTTAACACTCCTAAATCAGTAAGGAAATCCAGGAGTCAAACACAGCCTCTGTTATTGTAGTGTTTCTCAAAATATACTGAAGGTGAATTAGTATTTCATTTTTCAAAAATGGGATTTGTGGTAGATCTACTAACAGTCAACTGGCAACACCCAGTGGTGCTGGCTATGGAAGGTCCCCCTGAGGATTGCTGCCAACAGCATAAAAGAACTGGAGGGGCAGATGGGCTGCTGTTGATTCTCCTGGAGAGGCTTGTCATGCTGGCTTTCCTGATATGAGCTCGGCTGTGCTCCGGGCAGAGGAGCTCGCCGTCATTGAAGATGGCTGCAGTTCTCTGTGGGGGAGCTCTGGTCCTTTGAGTGTCACTTCTTGGCTCCAGTACAGAACCCTCAGCCTGCTGGCAGAGATCCTTCACCCCACTGGCACAGACTTCCTCGCTTCTACCACTGACCTTTGGGCCTTCCCAGTGCAGGTCCTTGATACAGACTTGCGTGAGACACTGATGTGGGCTCTGGGCCAGTCCTTCTCTTTAAATTAACAAAACTCATTTTTAGACCCATCCCAAAGTCTGGAGTTTCACTCAAACAAATGAGCCTATGGGCAGAGAAACAGGAATGCACCTCTTTACCATGTGGCACATTTTCATCTCCCCAGCAGAAAACGTTTAAAAAAAACACCCATACCTGCCAATCTTGACAGTGGCTGTGCATAACACCTGAGCAGACTAAGCACCGTGCAAAAGGCTGCTTATGGCAAATGCAGTAAATAGAGCAGTTTTAATTTGAGTGGAAAAGTGCACAAGTGCCACATGAAACAATTTATATGTGGAGAACTAGTGATCCCAGTTATCACTAAAGATTCTCTATGCAGTATGGTTTGGTAACATTTACAGAGCTATCTTCTTTGAAGTACAGCACTTGTCACTTAATGACAGGCACACTGCCTGAGAAACGCAGTGTGAGCAGCCGATTTCAGACCTGTGAACATCACGGCATGTGCTTACACAAACAAGACAGCTATGATGTCATCAGATGACAGAACCTTATGAGGCCACCATTTTACAGGGCCATCGCTGATTGTGACTGTGCTACCGACAGCTAAAGAAAACTTTACTTGAGCAGTTCATTTACTTCTAAGCAGTGTTCACCATCTCAGCATACTGACGTTTGGGGATGGACAGTTTTGTATTACGGAAGCCTGTCTTGAGCACTGTAGGATGTTAAGTATCACTCTGCCCAGCAAATATCAATAATCCCCTCCAGCTGTGACAACCAAAAACTTTCCCAGGTGTTGCTCAGACACAAGCAAATTATTTCCAGCTGGGAACTATTGCTCCTTAGTCTAAATTAAAGTTTATACTGTGACTGATTTCCTGGGAATGTGCCTTTTACAGGCATAAGGTGACATGGAAATATCCAATAATTAGCAGCATCAAAGATATCTCCAAATTCTGCGTGATAAGAAACATGAGTAATTGTGAATGCTAGAGAATGGTTAGGAAAAAGCACTACACAAAGAGAATTAGACATAATTTTACAGTCATTATATTAGTATGAATTATCTGACTGATGATGCTTAATAGATAACTATTCTCACAATTAGAAAAAAGATAAGGGTCATAAGGATTGAGGCAGTCCAACACTAAAAAACATAACAATCATCAACGGCTCAGACCACAGCCTACTCCCTGATTAAATATCCTCTATAAAATTCCCAATCAACAATCTCAAGTCCTATCTTAAAACTGCTTGTCTGTTCTGCAGCTGCATCATTCTCCTTAAATTACCGAAAAGAAGTCCTCCCATGTCATGAAGAAGTATCCAGAAGTACATTATCTAGTTTTAAAGTGGTTTCTTCAATATCCACATTTCCCGTTTTGCCATCATTGTCAACTGCAGGGACATCGCTCTCTTTGCTTTGTTCTTTTCTCACTGTCTTTAAACACTTGTCAAGTCTCTTGATGAACAAGTCCACATCCTGTGTCTTCATTCCAATGGCGGCGGCAGCGTTGAGGTAAGCACAAGGGTAGTCGTTGGAATGGGACATAAAGCCTCTGAAAATGTGGCCACTCACAGTTTGCACAAACCCAAGAGACACAACCCTGAAAGGGAGAAGATTTATTAACTTAGTATGTCTGGTGATATTAACAGAATGTCACCCATAAATAAAAGATATCCATTACTAAGCTGTACAGCCCACTTATTAAGAAGTTTAAAAACAGCCATAAATCAGGGCTTATGCAAAGACTGTCAGCCTTAAAATGAAATTATACAATACACTGCTATTTTACATGAAAAAGTCCTATCTGGTAATTATCATTTATTTATTTTCTAAGAAAAACCAACAAGCTCTAGAGATCTTAACACTTTCACATCTTCAAAAAAGTAAAAAGAAAATTACTTGGTTTTGTCCATATCTGGAACTAGACTTCACATATATACCCTTTAAGTCCAATGACTTGGACTCAATTGATTGCCATGTGTCACCTCAATCACCATGTTAAATTCCAACTGTCTGATCAGTGCTGTGCAAAGGAAGGTTTTAGCGCAAACACCAAAAAAAATACATCACTGCTTACAGCACAGTGGAGGTCAGCGAACCACAACATTCTGCAATGGCACATGCATTTCCTGCACTGGATTTCATGGCATATATAGATACAAGTAGATTTCTAATCTTCTACTTCTGTTTTTAAAGAGGTCCATTAAGATCAACCTAAACATAAATAGTGGCAACACTAAAAGCAAAATCAAGAAAACCATTTTTGGAAGGGTTAAAAGTATACTATAAGGTAAAAAAAATAATTAATCTAAGATTTTTTATTCTTTTGAAAAGCTATCCTTTGAGCTAAAGTTTCTATTCTAGTAAAGTCTAGGATTCAAGTTATTTTTCTCTGACCTTATCAAATACACAATGTAAAATAACACTGATTTTTCATACTATGAATATAAAAGAGGAACAAATATGTTTCTAAAGCAATAGTTACTTAAGAATTACAGAACCCTTTCAGTTTAGGAAACAGGAATTTCCTTGGCAACATTCCACTTGAATTTAGTAAGGAAGACAATTTATTTCTATGCCATCGCATGACATCACTGAGGATCATTTAACAAAGGAAATAAAGACTAAAACCTGTACAAAGAGGTAATGGAACTTTGTTTCTACATATTTAACAAAACAGAGCAGATCTTCCTGCGACTATTTCAGGTACAGATGACAGCTTACCAGTTCTCTACCTCATTCTTGGACTCCACAATGAACTAGCAGATACGTGGGGAACAACTGCTGGGGAAAGGGACTTTATGAGAGGTAACTCGGAAAAGTCAAAAACTCTCTTTTAAACATACTCACCTGGCACCAGAAACCTGTCTGGTAAAAAGCATTGAGCCGAGCTGAGTGACAGCTTTGTCATGACGTGCATCTAGCATCTTTAGTGTCATAGCTGAAAGAGAAACAAGTATCCCAAAGGAAGTTTCAGCTATCACCAAAAAAATCACTCAAAGCAAACTAATGGAGGAATTACTGTACTTTTAAATTCACTGTCAAGTGGTAGAATATCACTTTAATGTACTTAATTACAGCAAAGATTTGCTTATCAAATGTATTTTTATACAAATTAACATATTCGGTATCAGAAAGAGAATTCCTTATCAGCTTCCTAGAAAGTGAATTTTGCCAGCTAAACACAGGAAACAATAATATGATCAACATGGCTGTTTACTGGAATTCAACAAAGTTTTAAGAACTTATGAGAATGTGGGATGTATCTCAGTATAGGTAAGACTAAACAAATTGGTCCCTGCATAGGAAAATGGAAATGATCATTCCAGGACAATATTCCATATATACCATCACTGCTGTAGCTACCATCTACTGAAGACTGACTGTACTAGGTACTTTGTAAACATAACCTCAAATAATCGTTTAGTAAGTCTGCATTGAGAGATCATTACTTCTACTTTAGAGTCAGGGAAAAGAGGTTACAGGATAGTACCTGGCATAACTCACACTCTACCACCACCCTCCACATACCAGCAAAGGATTGGGGTTGTTTTTATTACATGTCAGTGCTCAAACAGATTACCCTAGAAACTCTTTCCTGAAAAGGCATCAGTTACAAATGATTCATTTTCCTTACTTTCTTCAGATGCATGAGAAATATGAAACATTACACTACACATATTTACAAATTAAAGAGGGGTAATCATGAAGCTTTTAAGTTAAACACAGTGAGATCAATATTCATATTATCATTCTTAAGTGCCCCTTATATTATAGGAAAGACACAGTCCTTATATAAACAAATGAAATTATAATAAATACAGACATGCAGAGGCTAAAGAAAATAAGCAATAGTAACATTAAAAACAATGAAGAAAGCTTTAATTTCTGGTATGCTGCTGCTTTGTTAATTGGAAGGAGTTCTAATTCCTCAATTCTTATCAGATACTAAGCTATTCTGGTTACAAGCAATACTTAATTTATTAATTTCTTCTGATTTTCTTAGCAAATGGGATATCTTGAAAATAATTAAAGAATTTCTAAAGGCTAATAAAATTTGTTAAATTTATTTATTAATACTGAAATGGAATTACAAATATTACAATCAAAGATCCCTCTTTTCCTGTAAATATCAACTTTCTCCAAAGGCTAGATCGGAGGTGTTGAATTTCCTTTTCAAGGTTAAAAGTTACCTAATGAGATGGGGTTGTGAGGCGTGTGCAACAGTCTTTCAGAGCAGGCTTCTGCCAATTTCTTTAGTTGGCTGGACAGATACAAAAACATTTCCTGCAACACAAAATGTCACATTTGAAACAAACTGAACAGGCACTGCAGTTTATCAGATTTCACAATGCAAAATCTGACTGATATGAAGCCTGTCCCACAGACTGTCTCTTCCATGTGCCCTCCTTGCCACACAGAGTGAGATTCAAAACTGTTACAACTATCAGAAGCTACAGGATTTAGGTAAAGGCAAAAGACCTGCCATTCCTTGCTTCAGGCTATAATGTATCCAACACAAATCCAGTTTCTCCTCAGAATCTGCAGAGCTACCACTCCAGTCTGAGCAATCATCAGCTTCTCCCCTGGAGAGAGCAGTAGACTTTAAATTAATTCTCTGCAGACTCCCCTTCCCCTCTACAATCTACACTACGAGGAGGCCAGTTGGTCTTTCAAAAGCATACATTCAAGAGCATCTCCAAAAGCATACATTCAAGAGCATCTCCTCCTCTGATGACTTTCTCCACTTACTTTCAAACGACCAAGTCATTCTTCAACTCTAAGGCCCCATGAGCTGTAACGCAGTCAGAACGCCCAATCCAGTGGCTGTGCTTCCTCTACTCCCGCCACCAGCCACACCAGTCTTCTTTCCAGCCGCTCGAGTGTCTGTACCTTTGCACATGCTTTCTCTGGATCTCCTACATCATTCTGTGGCCCCTTCTGTCAGTCTATGGACACCGTCCTTTAGTATTTCCCTACCAACACAGCTCTAACTACCCACCTGCAATTCCCAAGCTCACTCCAACATTTTTACCTAGTTTGGTATTACATTTACCACAACCTGAAACTATCTCATTTACTTGCGTAAATGAATGTTGTCTATTATTAACTACAATAATGGAAAAACTCCTTGAAGACAGGAGCTCTGTCTTTAATACCACTTCCTGAACACCAAGAAAAACGTCACACATTGGTATACAAGTTACACATTAAGTGGTTGTTTTAAAGTGAATCCTCCCTCCCCCTGGAGTGCTGGGAAGCAAATCCAGACAAGTATGCCTATTAGGTAAGTATTCTACCACTAAGCTACATCCTCAGCCCAAAATATATTGCCTTTAAATCACACAAAGAGAAAGTTAACAATTCCCTTAATATATCAACTAAAACTAACAATTATTCCACTGTGAAAAATAATCTATATTCAATAACAAAAAATAATAAAAATGTTTTATAAGTATAAAATGCTCTGTGTCAGTCAGTGGCAGTTTAATAAAGTTACAAATAAACATTAAGTTGGCAGTTATTTAAATTAAAATTTTACTTTCTTCTCCCCATAAGGCCTTCAAATAGGTGTTAAAATGAAAACCTGCCCAAGGACATCTGCAGCAGAATGAACCCATGTGCATTTCCCTCCTCCTCTGTAGTCAGCACAGACAAACTCCAAGGATAAACAAAACAGCCCAGGGCAGACAGAGTACCTAGGAGACAACAGGAAAAGACATTTCGCCAACTTCCAGAGCCACAAAAGCAGCCTCTGTTTTGTTCCCTGAATCTGATACTCTGGCACCACACTGGGTCCTGGGTAGCTTTTCCCATGAAAAACACTAGTGATTGACTCCATTCCTGTTCAAATTCAGTAAAGATTAAGACAAGGACAACTCTTTCCAGGTGTATAAATTATTAGTAAGTCTACTTACGTTGTCAACAAAACACAGTATTATTTTATAATGTCACTTGCATTTTTTGCCAAATAACCATCCTTAAATTTTAGGGATATTTTACAAGATGAGTTCTCAATACATCAGAATAATGAAATGTTAGACCACTAAAATTAATTGGTTCCTTTTGTACTTGAAAAGTTAATATCCACAACTGCCAAACTTAAACCAAGCTACCAGTAAGTACTACATGTGAAAAGACTTCCTCTTTTGTCATTAAAAAAGATATAGAGACATAAAAGAGACAAATGTCATCACATTCAGAAATGGAAAAAGCAAGCTGTGATGGGAATTTTTTCTTAGACATATAAAAATTTCCTGGCTCCTCCTCAATTCAATATTCCAATTTTCCAATATTCCAATACTCCTTCAGAGGATAAAATATTTTAAAAATGAAACCAATAATAGTTTTTATGGCAATCAGAACAATTTAAAACGTTTTAGTACCACAGTCAGTGTTAATAAAGTATAGAATTCCTGTGTTTCATTTATGTATTTCCAACTATTATAATATACCTAGGTCACTAATTTAAATGTTCTGTATTTTTTAAAATCTACTATACATTTCCATTCAGATATCAAATACTGATTTTTCCTCATCTGCATAATTCATTAAAGTCTTATCCTGCATGTGTCTATACAATTCTCCCTTATTCTCGAATTCATCAACTTCTCATTAGCATAAACAAATCTGATAGCCAGGAAATGCCTTTTATAGACCCCCCACGGCTTCCCCCAATAATAAAACCATGCCTGACCTTCAGTTATCCTTAAGCATATATTAATGAAGCAAGTTTTCTCCAGTTTATATATATCAGCGGTGAAGGCCAACTAAAAATATTGTTCTGTCTAGTTTAGCTGCCACGTTAAACATCAATGTGGTCAAATTTATAGAAAAAGAACTCCATGAGTACTTAATTTGTACTTTTCTGGAAAAAAAATGAAACGTTACCTTAGTAACACTCCTAGAGGGTGCTTTTAAACTTACTGATGCATACATGGTTATCAAAAAACTGAATTTGCCCAATATTAAATTTCTAATACTTTAATGATCAGCTTTATAGCCAGGTGTGGTGGCTCACACCTGTAATCCTAGCATTTGAAGGCTGAGGCAGGAGGACTGTTAGGACCAAGCCTACGCTACAAAGTGAGCTCAAGGCCAGCCTGAACTGCATAGCAAGACCTTGTCTCAAAAAGACAAAAAAAAAATCAGCTTTAACCAATTCTATCAATCACTTGCTAATGTCACCAAAATTCAGTTTTAATTGCAGCTATATTAGATGAAAATCTTTAGATTACAAAGATAATAATAAGGTAACTAAATCTCAAATATCACTAGTATGGGAGTAATTCAATTTAAAAATATTTTTTAAATCAAGTTCACTTTCAGCAGTAAATATGTCTAGTATCTCTACTCTGTGCGAAGGGTTATGACAGGAAAACCAATAAGCAAAGACGGTCTCAAGTATCTTCAAGTGCAAAGCACTGAATGCCAGCGTATCCCAAGTACCAAGGTCCTGAGTGTCCTCCGACTGACACCACTGCATTTGAAACATGGCCTTTCCTACTGCACTCCTGTCCTACACTAACGCAGAGCTAAGCAGCTTTTTTACCTGATACATCGAAGGTACCACAGAACTCACACTACTTTTTTGCTGTGGTTAAATCTATAACTGACATTTATTATAAAATACTTCAGTAAAGGAAGAAATTTATAAGCAGCCCAAGCAAATGTATATAGAAAGATCTCACTTAAAAGAAATGAAATATTATTGATTTTCTATGTTCTCTGTGCTATATTTAACTTAATTTTAAAAGACTTTCACTAGAAATAAACTGAACTACGTACCTGAATGCTAATGTCAGCTATATTTCTAGAATAAAAATACAAAACTTTACACCATAGTTCAAGGTGTTAATGGAAAAGAAGTTGAATCATATTAAGCATTATTTTTCATAGGGCCTTTTTCAAGTTGATTTGCAGTTGTGAAACCTAACCTCTATACTATCTCTTCTCAAATTCCAAAAAGTACATAATTCACTAGATTTTAAAGAAAGTAAAGACTTCAAAGAAAGTAAAAGTCTTTGTAATCATGTCTCTTGAAACATTGTTTCATGTTACAGGATAAAATGAAACAGTACCTCTGGATTATGCCCATAGCTCTCACAAGGCAGTTAATAAATCAGAAAACCACAATGTTTCAATGAAAATACTAATGGATGCATGAATGATACTGTTATGGTTCGATAACTAGTGGTCAACTTAACGCCAGCTGGATTACATCAGCATGCATTGAGCGAAGATCCTCCACCTGAGGAGGGTTGCCAGGATAAATAGGTGGAGAAGAAGGGAGGTGTAGAGAGGGATTGAGGCGTTACGGAGGCATTGTGGGTTCTCCTACGAGTTGCTGTCTGAGCTGTTGGTTCTCCTGGAGAAGCTTTGGTCTTCACATCGAGCATTGCTTCCTGGCTCCAGAGGGGAAGACATGTGCTGCCTGGTCTCCAGGGTGAATTTGTCACACTGCTTCCTGGCAGGTACCCGACTGTGCTTGTCGTCGGAGGAGCTCGAGGCCTCCATGTCGCTGAGGACAGCTGTGGTTCCTTTCAGGACAGCCCCGCTCTTTGTTGTGAGTGTGACTTCTCGGCTCCAGTGTAGAACCCTCATCCCACTAGCACAGCTCCTTCAGCCTGCTGGCATGGACTTTCTGGTTTCCACCACTGACCCTTGGGTCTTCCCTGCACGGATCCGTAAAAGAGACTGGCGTGAGTCCTTCTTGTGAGCTCTGGACTTCCAGTTGGACTCATGGAGGCGCTGTCCTGAGCTCTGGGTTTTTATCTGGACTCATGTGGACATTGCCATGGGGTTTAGACTCTTGACTAAATAATCTATGTCGTTGGTGTTGCGGATAGATTTCCTGCATTCTCCTGTGTTAACTTCCGGTGACCATTATAAAAATATTATAAACTCCATGTCCTGACCTGAATTGTTCTCTGTGTACAACCCCTGACTACAACAGGTACCATACTTACATATTCACAGAGTCGCGTCCATATTTAAGGAAAACTACTAAATGCAAAGGACTGCTATCCGTGACTGTGGCCAGCACACAGGGTCCAAGCACATCAGCAGTCCTTGCCTCAGAGGCAAACATGCTCATGCCAGGCCTCAAATTTGATGATCTCAAGAGATTCAGCTCAAAATGGCTCCAAATCCACCGACCCAACTCTGTAAAGCACACTCCAGGTGTGTGTCCTGCTCTTTTAGAACTTAGTTTGACCCCAAGCTTCAGCTCACAAATTCTAGCTGCTGGAGCAGCCGTCCTGCCATCATTCCCTTCTGCACTTGTC